AAACAGGTGGATGGATAGGTCAAGGCAAAGAAGAATGTCCCTTCTTCTGATGAGAAGGTGTAAAGGTGAGGCTAGGTACGCTAAGTGACAGGGTGAGCAAGAGAGTGCAGCGGAGAAAACAAATCCAGGTGCCTGCCATGTTCTTTGTGAGTTACTCCAGGAGGAGAGGAGGAACAGAGATGGAATTGAGGAAAGTAGTGGTGATGGGCAGAGTGCTAGTGGGCAGTGAGAAAGCGTGCCAATTAGACCCAAGTGAAAGGATGGGGAGAGGGAGCGCACAGTGACTCTGGGTTAAAGCTCCATATGCATCTTGCAGTGTCACCTAAATCAAGGATCGGCTGTCTCCAAAGGTACAGGGCAGTCCCCGAGCAGGGCTGGGGAGCGGGGAGCACTGGTTGTATGAGAGCCTCAGAAGGTGGTGTAGTTGAAGCTGTGAAAGGCTGGACAGAGGCTTTAGAGAAAGTAAATCAATGAGAAGTGGAAGGAAACGAAAAGATTTCGTGTTAAGTCATTATACCTTAGTCTAAAAAGAAGTGTCATCAAGTTTCCAATGGGCATCAATTACTGGCCGCTGGCCACACCCTTCCTCCCTCCTTAGATCTCTCAGTTATCTCTTCTCTCTGTTGTGCTTTTCCCTTCTCATTCTTCTTCCCAATGACATCATTTGAAAATACTCTAGTTTTGTGGGGGAAGGTAGTGCTCAGTGGCAGAGCACATGCTTAGCGCACACGAGGTCCTGGGTTCATCTCCCAGTACCTCCATTAAAATGAATAAATCAATTAATAAACCTAATTACCTCCCCCCAAAATACTCTAGTTTCATCTTTTAAAAAATTCCTCCCTCAATCCCATGTCCCCCTCCAACTCCTCCCTGACGTCTCCCTGGCCACCTGCAGCCAAACTTCTAGACAGTTGCCCACGTTCACTGTTCCCACTTGTGCATTCACCCCCTTTTCTCTACTGCTTCCAGAATCCAGTCAAATGACACTCATGAATTAACAGATGCCAAAGCTAACTGTCCAATCTTCCCTTTTTAGCCTTTCACACACCTGGCCTCTGGCAACACTGGCCACACTGAATGCTTCCTTCCTTTTTGAGACTCTCATGCTTGGCTTCTGTGATAGCCTCTGCCCTGCTTCCCTCCTGCCCTACTCCTGTTCCCATTCTCATTTGAATGTTACCCAGCTTTCACTTCTCTCTCTCCTTTATCTCTCCCACCTTCAACCTTATCAAATTCATAACTTTTACTGCCTAATCATCTCTTGAACTCATCCTCTCCTTCATCTCCAGGGTCACAGTCCTCTTTCTGTTTCAGGACTTTGTAGTTGCCCTGGTTTATACGAGAAACCTTGGTTTTTCTTTCTTTCTTTCTTTCTTTCTTTTTTTTTGGTCCTGGCGGCAGCAGGGCTGACCGGCGGTGCCCACCCTTCAGGTTTCTGTGCCTCCGTTCCGCTCTCCACCTGCTCGCTGCCCACTTCGCCACCATGACAGAACAGGCCATCTCCTTCGCCAAGGACTTCCCGGCCAGAGGCATCGCCGCCGCCATCTCCAAGACAGCCGTGGCCCCGATCGAGTGGGTCAAGCTGCTGCTGCTGCAGGTGCATCATGCCAGTAAGCAGATTGCGGCCGACAAGCAGTACAAAGGCGTCGTGGACTGCATCGTGCACATCCCCAAGGAGCAGGGCGTGCTGTCCTTCTGGAGGGCAACCTGGCCAATGTTACCTGCCACTTCCCCACGCAAGCCCTCAACTTCACCTTCAAGGACAAGTACAAGCAGATCTTCCTGGGGGGTGTGGACAAGCACATGCAGTTCTGGAGGTATTTTGCTGGCAATCTGGCCTCTGGAGGTGCAGCTGGAGCCACCTCCCTCTGCTTTGTCTACCTGCTGGATTTCGCCAGAACCTGCCTGGCAGCCGATGTGGGGAAGTCCAGCGAGGAGCGGGAGTTCAAAGGCCTAGGAGACTGTCTGGTGAAGATCATGAAGTCTGAAGTAGTCCGAGGCCTGTACCAGGGCTTCAACATCTCCGTGCAGGGCATCATCATCTACTGGCCGCCTACTTCTGCATGTATGACACGGCCAAAGGCATGCTCCCCGACCCCCAAAACACCCACATCATGGTAAGCTGGATGATCGCGCAGCGGTGATGGCCATGGCCAGCGTGGTCTCCCACTCTCTCGATACCGTGCACCGGTGATGATGCAGTCTGGCCGCAAAGGAGCCGACATCATGTACAGGGGCACCCTGGACTGCTGGTGGAAGATCTTCAGAGATGAAGAGGGCAAAGCCTTCTTCAAGGGTGCCTTCGTGCTGGTCCTGTACAACGGACTGAACAAGGTCATCTAGGCGCTGCAGGCCCGGGCCCGCAGGGCCCCAGAGAGTGATACTGACACCTAACTGTTATGGACCATTGACCTTTGAGAAATTCCAGGCCTTGCGGGGGGCTGGGCAGCTCTGGCCAAGGGCGCATTGTCACTGTGGCCATCGACACTGCAGGTCCATGCGTTGATTGGGGAATTAAGGTGTCTTCGTGGGTCCACTAGTGAGGCAGCTCTGCCAAGGCACACCTAGACTCCCAGTATTTGTAGGACAAACCCATGTTTAAGTATTTATTTAAAACAAATCATGTCTCCCATTTGTACTTAGGCACTGTTCTCTTTTGCATAGCTGAATACTTGCAGTTATGTTCTAAGTTGGGCATTCAGCTACAGAATAAAATCAGGACTCCAAAAAAAAAAAAAGAAACCTTATAACTGATCTCTCTGGCTTTGAATTTTTCCTCCCTGCCATTTGTTTTCTTTCTGCATTGTATATTCTTGCCTCCTTTGTCAAAGATTAACTGACCATAGGTCTGTGGGTTTATTTCTGGGCTCTCTTTTCTAATCCATTGATCCATAAGTCTGTTTTTATTCCAATACCATACTGTTTTGATTACTGTAGCTCTGTAGTATTGTCTGAAGTCTGGGAGGGTTATTCCTCCAGCTTCGTTCTTTTTCTTCAAAAATGCTTTGGCAATTCTTGGTTGTTTTCTTTCTGAAACACAGATCTGATCTTGCCCCAACGTTCAAAGCTCCCATCCACTCAGAAGGCAACTCAAACTCCTTGGCATGAATAACAGCCCTCCAAATAAGCCCTGCTTCTCACCACCCTGTTCCCACAAACCCTCCAGCCTTAGCAAGTTGCGTGCATGCCCCCTTCTCACATTCTGGCTCTTCCCACCTCCCCTTCATCCTTTCCTGGCTAATTCTAACCTCTCTCCTGGGACTCAGCTCAGTGTCCTTCCTCCAAACTTCCCTGCTCCCTTACAGCCCAGGCTGGGTGTGCCCCCACAGCAGCTGATGCTGCTGTGTCCTGATGCCAACTACACCTGGGCTGCGATCTCTGACCACTGGCCTGTCCCCTCAGAAAGGAATTCACAGTGTAGCCATAGCTGGGACACAGATTCAGCTGTCATTAGATTACTGAAATTCAAATGTAAAATTTACTGAATCCCATACACAACAATGCTGAGCCCAGGACGATGGCCAGAAGTCATCCTCCCCAAATTCAGTTCCATCTTCAGCTTGTTTTTACTTGCACCAGGGCTGAAAAGGAGACCCTGTGGCTCATCCAGAGGCTCCAGAGCGGCGCATTACCGTTCTTCCATCTTTTGCTTACTCCTTCCACACACCCACACTTCCTCCTCTTCCTGCCCCAACACAAATTCTCACCACTTAGTCTCACCGGATTCCACCTCAAGCTGTACGCACCCCAGTCACAAAGAGCTCCACAAGTGGACCTGACACTGTGCAGCTCTTCCCCCCCAGCCACCTGGAAAAATCAGTTCGAGCGCAGGAGAGTGAGATGGGTGCGGAACTGCTGAAGTCTTTCCAGACCCTTCCAGGTCAAGCCCAGCATCTCTTCTCTATGTACGTCCTTCTGTTACGGTCCCCATCACACTGGCCTGTGGGTTCTGTCCCTCCCTCTAGACTAGCTCTCCTTCACAACGGGACTCTGTGTGTGTGTGTGATGTGCGTATAAAATTTTTGTATCTCAGCAGTGCCTGGTGCTCAAAGACATCTACCAAACATGCCAAATTAATTGATTTAGCGAAGGATACTGGAAACAAACCAGGAAATATCAGCCCCCATTTGTTCAACAATTCCTGATCTGCTTTTCAACTGATGAAGCTCTCTGACATATGTTATCTCATTCCATCCACACAGTGAGCCCATGAGACTTGGGAAGAAAGAGTCGAGAAGAAAGGGGATAAGGAACCGGATAAGGGGCTGTAGTGTCAGAAATAGAAGAGGAACCCAGGGTTCTAGATTCCTTGTGCTCAATACCAAATCGGGCCTATATTCTTGGCCTTGGTGGAGGCCCAGTGCATATGAAGGAAAAAAAACCAAAAGAGCCAGAATCCAAAAAATGATCAAACAGACTAGGGGTCTGCTATATTTATCTAGAACAGAGCTGTCAAATAAAAATATAATGTGACTCACAGACATAATTTGGAACTTTACAGTAGCCTTGTTAAAAAGGTAAAAGAAACAGGTGAAATTGATTTTAATATATTTTATTTATCCCAATAGGTACCCAAAATACTATTTCAATGTGTAATAATCAATCTTAAAAACCATTAGTGAGATATTTCACATTTCTTACAGTACCTAAGTCTTTGAAATCCAGTGTGATTTTTCACTTACTGTGCATCTCAATTTAGGGGCTAAAATTCCACTGGAGATACTCAATTTATATCTAGATTTCATTAAATATACAGGTAAAAAAGTAGATTCACATATTCGAGTTATTCAAAACATACATGAAGGTTTTTCACTAACTGAAACAAATATCAATTTCTACATTAAAATTAAAACTAAATATAATTAAAATTCCAATTCTCAGCTGTACTAGACCCAAGTGTTCAATAGCCACGTGTGGCTGGTGACAACCACTGGGCAGTGCGGAGCTAGAAAGCTCAGGCAGCATTTAATAGAAATATTTAAGCTCACACAGGGTCTAACCAGCCACTCGATAGGGATGTTTCTTTCTAATCAATGGCTTAATGGTGAGACTTTTTGCTTTAATTTTCTTGAACTCTCCCCAAAGACTAGTAGGCTCACCCAACTCATCCCTACCAGTGACAGTACAGAATGAACAGCCTGGCAAACATTTGCATAAACCGAGATGGTTCCCTTGCAGGTGATTAATTGAAACCAGAAACCTGAGATCTCATTCTCACTCTCAGAAGTTGATGCCAAGAAGGTTAAACTTTTCTGTTCACAGACTCTTGTTATCTTGGTAAGAATGGCATTTGCACTGTCACCATTGAAAATAGGATGAAGCACAAGAAAATGACATCACGTTGTAGAAGCCTGTGATGGATTCAGTGACGACAGAAAACATCCCCCAACTCTGACCCATCATGGGACGCAGTTCTTTTAAAAACAGTTCTTGGAGGTAATTTTATCTAAAACCTAAGAATACCTTCAACTGTAAAATCAGGTTGAAATCTGGATCTAAACTTAGTCACACGAGCACTAGACGTGAGGCTAGTGTGACTGAGGAATTGAAGTTTTATCTAATTTTAATTAATCTTCATTAAAAAATTGATATTCAATCCAGTTACTGGAAAGCATTTACATTTATTTGGAATAATTCAGGGATGTAAATCCACATTTTTATCTGTAAATTTTATGAACTCTAACTACATTCTCATTCTGTGAAGCACTCATAGAGCATTTTTATAAGTATGCCAGACACTGTGCTGAGCGCTGGGAGGATACCAGAAACTGAGAGACAGTGCTGCCTCTGGGTCACGGGGCCATCGCAGGACAGCCTGACCATCACAGGCAAGGGTTTTGAAAGCTGCCACAGCTGCAACACTTGTGAGAACGAAGGAAGCACAAAGCAGGAGCACCTGACCTGTGGGTGGACCTGCCATGGTCCGGCCCATCGGATGCACCAGGAAACACCAGAAGAATTCCCTGCTCTAAATAGAGATTACCTGGGTAACACAAACCCAGTCCATTTATATACAGGAAAATGAACCTAAACCAACATCTAATTGGAAAATAAGACTGTTTATTCTTGATAACATAATTTTTCCACAAGCACATCTCTGGACTCCTATGTTACATGATTTTTCAATTTCTCACAATCAACAAGGTAGGCATGCCTGTCACACTGGGACTGTGCAGGCGTTTAATGCTATTGAAGACATGGGTTTAAATCTCTATGCAACCCAAATCAAAGAAAACAATAATTCATTTTCAATTGAAGTATAGTCAGTTTACAATGTTGTGTTCATTTCTGGTGTACAGCACAGTGATTCAGTTATATATATAATACATGTATGTAATTATATATATATAATATATATATAAAATACATATATATATAACTTTTTTATAAACGTTTTCATATTCTTTTTTCATTATAGGCTATTACAAAGTAGTGAATATAAGTTCTCTGTGCTACATGGTAGGATCTTGTTTATTTTATATAGAAAACATTAATTCATTTTTAAGCTGGAATCCTTTTTCATTACTAGAGATCCTACCCAAATAATGGGAGAGACTAAATACAGAAGTCAGCTTTTCTCTGCATCACAAGGGGGACACAGTGTTATTTCACCAATTATGCTGATATTTCCATTTAAAAGAGTCATCCATCAATGTAAAAAAAAGTTACAGTACCTTTTTAATGGTTTTATGATCCTGTTCTGCCTTCTCTTTCAGACTTATAATTTCATCTTCTGTAAACAAAAGGAGAGAGGGGCCAACCATGAAATTACAAGCTTATGCCCCTGTATTCAGTCTGCCTGCTTCAGGGCAGGCTGTACACCACTGGCAGGCATGGTGGACGCAAGTCCTAGCAGGACTGTGACCTTCACAACTGCCCTTGACATTCACAGCCTTCTTCCTGCTGTTCAGACGGCTGGTCAGATAGGGATTAAGAACTAAGTTCAAGATCCAAGTATGGCTGAGGATTGCAAGCTTTTCACCGAGACCAGCGATGGACACTTCTGCTGTTAGTCACAGCCAATACAAACTACTTTAGCAGGTGGCACTTACGACTCAGTAAGAACCACCCAAACCTGAAAAAAGCACTGTTACACTGTGTCAGAAGAGAAATGAAACTACACTGGCTGGTATAATTACATATTCAAGGAATACAGTCCTGCATCTGACTTTATCAATGTTTTGCTATAAGTTTTCTATTGCTTACTCAGAGCTTTTCATTCTGCAGATTAAGGGCAAAATTATATAAACAACATAAATATAAAGAGAACAGTACATGTCAATACTTTAGAGCACTCTAACTTTGATGATGTAAATGCAACATTTACCAATGTTTATGGTATGTAAAAAGAAGGGGCGGGAGGGTTCTACAAATGGAAATTGGTACTTAAAATTTGTCCCTAAAATTGAAGGTAAAGTAGTAAACAGTATGATATTTTCTGAAGGCTAACTCTGTTTCTCCACAAAGCATATCCCAATATGTATGCTTAAGTATTAAAATGTTACACATTTTTAGATAATCGATTAAGCACATGAAACAGAAGTCAGCAAAAGTTTGTTTATAATATTTCTAAGCGATGTAGAGCACTGATTAGCATATTTTTTCAAAGGCCAATACTTGGCTTAAGAAATAACCACCCTGAGTTAAAAACGTGTGGCTAGGGGAGTACGACCAAGTTCCGTTCCAAGAAAAGAATGAAAATCAAAAATGACTATCAAACTGATCTTTTAAATGTAAATAACCAAACACACTGGAAAAGACAAACGTTGCTATGAATTTTATAAGTGCCCCACGTATTGCGTTTTCTCAAATATGACTTTAAAATGTTACCTAATACAGAATTTTCTTTTAGATTGAGTCGGATTTCTTCTCGGAGTTCCGAAATGACTTGAAGCATTCTCTCGTTTTCCATTTTGTACTCCAAATTTTCCCTTTCTGGAGTTGTTTTTAGAGGGCTGATGTCTTTCACAAAAGAGTCCTAAAAGATGGAGAATTCCATATTTCTAAGCCGGGAGCCAAGGATTTAAATATGCAACACAAGACAATACAGAGACACAAGAGCTATCATATAATTTTCTGAATTCTATTACACACTTATAATATGAATAGTAAAAAGGAAGGAGACTAAATGGAGCTTGCTGGAAGAAAGGCTGCAGTCCGTTCTGTACAAAGACCACAGCACATGGGGACAGTTTATTGACAGGAATAATGCATATCATACTGTTTGTGTGCCCTCATCATTCAGGTCAATTCATTATGGAGGCTGTGTCCGGGGAGGCAGCTGGGGCCCCTCCACCCACCCTTCCCTCTGTGTGCATCTGAAGTGCTGTCCGCGCGTAACTAGGCAGGCCGCGGGGACCGCGGACGGGCAGCGCCAGGGGGTGGCAAAGCGCATGGCTAGGGAGGGGGGCTTGTTGCCTTTGTGGCATTTCCCAGTGTCAGCGCTGCCAGTGTCAGGAGGAGCACATCACATGTCAAAGTGGTGACGTTTCCAGGCTGGGAGCCGCATGGAGTCCATCAGGCACACGGATATCCACACAGTTGGTTTTCTGCTGGGTGGAGGAGCCACCCAGAGGCAATTCATATTCTGAACATTAACATGGCTTTGCATGCCTGTCACACTGGGACTGTGCAGGCGTTTAATGCTATTGAAGACATGGGTTTAAATCTCTATGCAAACAGTGATTACCTTGTAAGAAGGTTTCAGGATAACTTCCAACAAAAGACTTTTAAAGTTATAGTTTTAGTAAAGCAAGCTCATTTACATTTTTATTATGTGTGTCTTTTGTTTAAATCTTGCCATGTCCATTATGGGAGAAGCTTTTTCTTACACGATAGAAGCTTATTGGGAAAGCTACCCTCCTTTTCTTCTTCTCATCTGGTTCAAAGCTATTGAAAACATCTGAATATACTTGCTTATGGCTGTCTAGATTTTCCTGCCACACACTGTTTTTTTAAATCAAGACGTAATGAATTGGAGAAGCTGGTGCAAAACTTTATACTTCATGATGGTAAAATATTAAATTGATTATGCAATTAAATTTATTATTTCAAAATATTAAAGTGCCTGCTTGAAAGTCATTATATTGTTACGCTAAAAGAGACGTGTCTATATATGCCTTCCTTCAAAATTAATATAGACACTAGAAGTACTTTTGAACTTTAATCTTGAGATGAATTATAACTTATTTCTTGTAGCAATGCTATGATTGCAAATACACAAGAATAAAATCTCCTCTTGAAAATAAAATCATCTCTCCCAAGATAACTGGTGTCTTTTTGAACCTGTATTTTATTTAACTCTAGAGATATCTGAAAGCAAATTATTAAAATGTTTTCCTCTGTGGTCATAATGGTTTGAGAGAAAAAATGAGTAGTGACAGTGCTTTGCAGGACATTCATAAACCCTTAAAAAACAAGTGACTTACTACTGAAGTTAGTTATGTCAGCATTAACACTTAATGTTAAATTTTGCACTAAGCCCGATTATGAATCTTCACGATTTTGATTCACCATTCCACTTAAATTGTTTGAGCCCAATTCATTCTTAATTAATGAGAACTAACAAAGGTAAAAGCTAAGAAACTATGCTGTTTTCTTAATAAAGGAAAAATCCCAGTCATTAGTTTCCTATCCCACATGGTTAAATTTGAGAACATCACAGAATGTATTTATAGACTAAAAAAGCTTTTTAAAAAACAAACAATATTTTCCTTAATAGACTGAAGTGTAGATTTCCTAACAGTGGCAGAAAATGAACACCCACAGCGGATTAGGTGAGCACCCCCATTACTGTTAACTAAATACGAACTATTTAAATTAATCAGATGAAGTATAAAAATTACAAGTGACAGCAGCTAATACCTAAATGGTATTCTAAAAATCTCATAGAAAAGCAGGAAACAGGGAAACATGTTCAACTCAAGGCTTTTGTTATTCCTCCCCCCACAAATCCACCAACAGCCCCTGTTCTGAGAGGTTAACCTTTAGCTCTGTCCCCACCATCTGTCAGCTGCAGGAACTGCAGGTCATTAACTATTCAGATTCCCACAGCAATGAGGACACTCATTAGCAAAATGAACAAAGGGATAGTTCTGGGCGGCTACGGTCATCTGTTACACTTTGAGTGGCAGGTTTTGTGGTGGTGTTCCTTCTACCATCTGCCCATACCACTAGCTTTGCCTGACTTAAACCATGAGACTTCTGTAAAATGAACTGCGTTAATAAATGAAAGTTAAGAAGGATGGAGATCATTAAAAGGGGGTTAACTAGTTTAAGCAATTTCAAGTCACATTCTCGTCAAAGACAGTTTGTGTGGGACCCATGATCACTCTTGAATTTTACATTCATAAAGTAACTTGCCAATTTAGAGTTTTCCTCTCGTGCAGTGAGAGTTAGGACTTTCAGGTGGTGGCTGACATGGCATTTCTCCTGTGAACAGTCACGAGATGTGCAGTATCACTGTTTCCGGGTTTCAGAATTCCAAACTGAGTCATCAAAGAATTGTTTCTGAAGACAAGTGCGGAGTCTGAAGACTCGAGCCTTGCTAGAATGTGGTCCAAGCACCAGGAGACTCAGCAGCATGTGGGAGCTTTTGGGAAATGCAGGATCTCAGGGCTCAGCCCAGACCTCCTGTCAGAATCTGTATCTTAACAAGAGCTGCAGGTGACCCCCCTACACACAATAAAGTCTGAGCCGCACTGTTTGGAGCACCACATGTGCCCTCCCAGCAGTCTCCCTTCTGCCACATTGGCGTCTTAATTCTGTAGGCTCCACGTAGAGGACTCGGACATCTCAATTTGATGGTGGGGTTGCGGGGGAGTGTGTGGAGCAGTCCCGATGTGTGCCCATGCTGCATGACAGTCACAGAGAAGAGCAGGTGCTTCCCCTGTGAGTGACAACCAGGAAAGCAGCACACTAGGCAGTGCAGCCCTGCAGAGCTGCCACTCTGGAATGACAGCTCTGTTTCCGAACTGTCAGCCACAAGCAGCTACGTTCACCTACGAGGGTGGGAGTATGGGCGATGGTCGCACAGTGCATCCATGTTGGGGTAGGAAAGAAAACTACAAAGTTTTTCCAAAATGACCACTCTGCAATGGAAAACATGCCTGTGCACAGAAAGACAGACACACGCTAGTAATTATCAAGAGGATTTATCAACATACAGCATGACAACCTGGTAACTACAGCGGTATGCATTAAGTCATAGTGGCTTTTCACAAAACCCAAAACCCAAAAGGCACTTGAAGGAATTTGCTCTTGGGGAAAATTCAGCATTAAGGATGTTCTGACCTGGAGAGATGGAAGCTTCTGTAACTTGAAGAGCTTCTTTTTTCCGATTTCCATTTTGTCATAAATAGAGGTTAAACTAGCTGTTTATCAAACTTTCCCTTTCCTATCACAGTCTTAGATTTCTCTAAAATAGTCCTGGAGAGATACTATGACTATTAATGACAAAGCAATTTATGGAACTGAACTATGAGTAAGAAAAAACTAGAGCATGTCCTCACTGATTATTCAATTTGCTTATTTCACGTTTTCTTCAAGCGATTTCCATTGCCACTTTGAAAATTTCTAATTGTTTCTCCAAATCTAATCTCAGATACCAGGCGTCTCTAGGTTGTTTTTTTTTTCTTCCTAACACCACTAGAGGGAGCAGCTGTATTAGATGAAATTTCTAATTTAAAAGGGTACAGCACCCAGAACTTGAGTGGCACGGAGTTCTGGGAAAGCTAGAGGATTTCTAAAACGTATTTTTCAGAAGTTGATTTTTATATAAGCCATGATCCACCTCTGCAGCGTTCACATCCCAAATGCACATTAGCTCTGCTCTGCACTGCCCTCAGGCAGCCTTTGTTTTATTGGGGTCCTAAGGAGTTGGGAGAGATGTCCAATGACCAGTTATCAGGAGTGTCTCACTTCTTCAGACCTTAGGGTGTTTATAGAAATACTGATGTGTCGTCCTTGGGGACAAACTGCAGTAGAACAACCAGGTCTTCAGGAAGGCAACCTGAGCCAGGGAACAACACCCTCCCTGCTTATAGAAGAGCAGGGTGAGTCTCCTACGTCCGGTGGTCCTCACCAAGCCTCTGTCCGTCTTCCAGGACATCCAGACAGACCAGCTAATGGGTTGAGGACACTTAGAGATATAAACACGCCAAGAAAGTCCTCCTGTTTTACTGGAAAGAGCTCAATTACTGAATTGGGATGTTCTCAACAGTCTAGATGTCTGTTCAGTGCATTTCATGATGTGTAAACCAGATGGTCGTAAGAACTAGTGTATTTCCTCATAATGATAACTCGAATTTATATGCATGCCTTTCCTCAAGAAACTCAAAGCAGTTCACATTCAATATGACAGGTCTCCTCCTCATACCTCTGTCTGTTGGCTAGGCAGGTATCACAGCCCGTTTCACAAATGGGGAATAAATGCACCAAAATTGCCCTGCCAATCGATGCAGGATATCGTTAGCCAAGGCAGGATTCAAAGCCAAAATTATTACAGCTTTTTTTGCCCTTTCTATTACATAATTTTCTCCAAAAAATAAGAGTAAATGTAGACCCAAGAAAAGAATGGAAAAATTGGATCCTCCAAGGCAATCAGAACATGTAAAATGAAGTAATATTCAACTTTATTAGATCGACAATCATACTACTTAATACTACATTGCTTAGAAGCAGCTCCAAGTTTTTTTCTTTAAACACAAACAATAATCCTAATAGATTAAAAAAAAAGCAAACACCCCTTCAGCAGTTAGTAAACAAAGTCCTTTAGAATGGTGCAAGTTCAATTCCTTAGCTCTTCTAACTTTGGAGTTTTGAATAGCGTGGGATTTAGATAAAGCACAGATTGCACTTAAAGGGCCCAGCACCCACAAGTGTTTCTTCCTAGTGTTAACACTTTGATGTATAACTTCTCAGGTTTTTTTCTGTATATGTTATACGCATGGCTCAATATTTATGTGTGTATATGGACATGCATTAATATATTGTACATTAATTATAATGACATTATGATATAAATATATACAATAATATAATCCCTTATATATTATAATGTATATATACACAAATAAACTGCAACCTTTCATTCTGACTATAGACGATAAAGCCCCACCTCCTTATGTGGTCCCTTGGATTCAGGTGAGGAGGTCCCCCTGATGAGGTACCTGATACCTGCTAGTTGATACTCAACAGATTGCTATTCTCTGGCCTCTCGGTTAGCCTCTCCTACTCAGACAATCCACTTCTTGCTCTTAGAACCTAGTAACAAAAATCCCTCTGGCTCTGGACTGCGGTTGGGCCAAGACAGCCAGTGGCTCAGAGCTGACTTGAGATGGAAATGAACTTGCCCTCAGAGTCCACATTTTTCCAGATCCTTAAAAGTCTCCTCCTTGACAGACACCTAAGCTCTCCTTTCTCACCTATCTTCCCATTTCTGTTCTCATCAGTCTTCTGTCTGAGCAGGAAAGCCACTCCTGGCTCCCACTGCAACCGGGAGAACAGGGTGAAAACCCTCTGAGAATTTTCCTTGTGGACAGTATTTCTACGTAAGATCATCTTGCGCCAAGTTTGTTTCTTGGAAGCCTTGAGATTATTTTGTGTCTTTCGAATTGTCTGGACTGCAAAAAAGGGTGGGAATCTTCAGAATTAAAACAAAAATCTATTCACAGGCTCCTCTCGTGTGAGATAATTTTTGCAGTGGGAGATAGGTTATTTTATTTCCATTATAAATAAAAGTTGAGAATAATTATATTACTCCTATTTATAATTATCATGGGTTTTCTAGAATGTGCTGTTGAAAAGAAAAGTGTTGGACTGGTTTACGCTGTGGAGAGATTCCCAGTTGATTTTATCAACTGTAGTTCCTCTCTCCCTAACGCAGCTTGTAGACAGTTGTAACTTTATTTACATATATTAAATGAATTACTCTTTACTGTGAGACTTACAACTTTATGAAATCCAAATTCCTCATATTGGTCTAGTTCTTCTTTTAATTCCTTAATGAGTTCTTCTTTCTCCTTCATTTTTTTCAACAAAAAAGTAATTTTGGCAGTGGCTGAGTCTTGCACAGGCATCTTCTCTTCTTCTATCTCAAAGAATTGCTGGGGGGAGAAAACAGTGTTGGAAGTCAGACACGAAGCTAGCACCAGCAGAAACTATTTCATGTTTTATTCAAGCTTCTGTCTTATAAAGTTACTTTTGCAAGTTGCACATGTCTTAGTAAACAACTATATTTATATTGAACAATAATGGAAAACAGCACAGTATTATTTTGTGAAACACAAAGCATGGTGTCTTTCCCTAACTGCATCAGCTATGCAAATGATAATAATAGGGAATCTTAATTGTAAATCCACATCATAACGGTGAATGTCCAACTTCAATCTTCCTCTAGAAAGGAAGCTAGCAAAAAACTTTTAATATGTAAAAAGGAAGTGAACTTCGGTGGTGTAGTCAATTCCCTCAATGGTTTGGAACAGAGACGTGGATACTTACTTCCAAGATATAAAAATCCCATTTTCAGCACTGACACACAAAACCATATTGTCCATTTTGGGCTCTTTTGGGAATTATGGGAGAACTATTTTATTTTTTATCACTTGTTCATTACTAAATACATTTGGACACATGGACATATGAGAAATGTAGTAAAACCTAACCATATCTGCTAATATACTTAATATTATATTTCAAAGAGCTAGATTTACAAACTAAAATTGTTTTACTGGTATATAATGAGTATCAGCAGACTGAAAAGAAGAATGTTATATTGAGGTAGCGTTAAGAGTCAAGCTAAGGACATAACACTGACATAGTCTACACAGCACCAATGGAAAAAAATCAGTAAATGAATATGTAGTCGAATTAAAAAGAGTGAAAACAGAACAATCCATATGACAATATTCCCTTTTTAATTGGGTGATTTTAAAGAACAGTGTTAAGTACACAGACCTGTTCTTCACATCTTTTCTTTTCTAGGTCTACAGATCAAATGCTCTGCAGAGGCCAAGAGAGTTAACCCACTAGTGTCCTGAGCATAAGTTACTGGGCATCTCAAATTCAACAGGTCCAAAGAGCGGTCACCATCTTCACACTCCTCCTATCTGCCTCCCCCATAACAGCAGCACAAGCCGGAATCCCATTTTCTGTCATTTTAAGCCCCTTCTACTCCCTCACTAACTCACCAAATTTGCTCAACCCATCCCCAAATCACTCCCGAAATTACCCTCTCCTTCCCTGTTCCACTCCCATCCTGTTACCAAAGCAAAACATGCGCAGTAAAGCCAGCCTACTGACGCCAGGTTGTGAAGAAAAGTGCAGCGTTTACTGCAGGGCACCATGCAAGAAGCCTGGGACAGCCGGTGCTGAAACATCCGGACTCCCCATCGACTTCAGGAAAGCATTTTTAAAGGCCAGGTGAGGGAGGGGCTTCAGATACTGTTATTTAGACACTTCAGGGAGGAGCTGAAACAGAGGATTCAGGGAGGGGTCTGTCCCAGGAAGGCCCCAGAGGGTCCTGATTGGTTACAATCATCATCCCTGTCTTGCTCACCTGGACTATTGCAACAGTCCTTAACTTACCTCCCTGCATCTTCGTTTGTCCTCTCCAATCAATCTCCAGCCTGTGGCCAAAATGACCTTTCCTAAACTGCAACTCTCCCCGGCTCCCACAGGGTAAAGTCTAACTCTTAGCATGATGGACAAAACTGCACCCCTCAGGGCCTGCTGCCAGCTCACCTGGCTCCTGTTTCGTGCTAGCCTTCTCTCCCTTTCTCCACCAGACTGGGCATCGTACCGGTGTTGGCACGCAGCATGCCATTTCCCGGAAGCACGTGGTGATCAGGCCTCCGTGCCTCTGCACTTGGAACTCCTAGGCCAGCTGGGGAGCTCTTACTTGTCAGTCTCCTGAATGGCATTAGAACAAGGGGGCCTGGGTCTGCAGACCGGCTCTGTCACTTAGCAGCTTTGTGACCTTGAAAAAGTTTCTTAAATCCCTCGCCTCAGTTTTATCATCTGTGAAATGGGCCAAATAATAATGCCACCTGAATTGCCATGAGAATTCAGTAAGATAATGCATGTAAACAATTTTGGATGGTGTCTACAGCGCAATTTGCTCCCCATCTGTGTTTTATCTTAGCATTTGTTGTTCTTGTTACTGTTTGTCATTCAAACCCAGATGCCACGCATTCTGGGAAGCCTGAGCACCACTCTCCTACCCATCCCCCTTCTGGTGCTGGCTTCTTTCTATACCTTATAAACATTCTTTTGGGGTCCATTTATTTATTGCTTGTTTTTTGCTTACTAATTTTTATGTTCTGAATATGATGGGTTTATTTTCCTCCTAAAAAAACAGCAGAGCAAAGATGCATCCGACAAGCTGGCCAAATCATCTCCTTGATGACACAGCATAAACCATCCTGGGGGAGTTCATTTAAAATCCCACCAGGACTGTGCTGAGACACTGCACACATCCCGCTGTGCTGGGCCTGCCTCTAGGGTGCGCTCAGCCCCTCTGGACTTCAGGGCAGGGAGGGCCACAGTTCTTCAGAAGAACAAGAAGTTTCAGTTTTGACATTACAAAAATTAATCGTTCAGGCCCAAACACATTGGATTCACTTCTCTTCATCTTCCAGAATGTTTCTGATGTTTTACTAGTGTTTATCGAACACCCTGGACTCAAGAATAGGTAAGCAGAAAGCAGCTGGGTTTTTTTTTTTCTCACCACCCCTCCAAATATAATCTCCTGCCTCATGTTTTTCCTCTTAGAACTCTCAGAAAAGTTCCATGTCTTTTTTTTAAACTCTCAGCAACAAAATTGAATTTAAAAAAAAGGAAGAAAGCAAGAGCCAAAAAACCCCCCCAAAACCCCCTAACTCAAAATCCCCAAATCCCAATCCAGCCTACTCTTCTTACCCATCAAAGCTCCTGACCTTTCCCAGTTCTGGCCTCCCTTAGATTGGCAGCCTTCAGGGAAGGAGAGCAGTTGGGCCTGGCTTCGCTTTCTAACATCCAGAGATTTGGTCAAACACCAGCCTAGATGTTGTTATGAAGGTACTTTTCATGTGAGATTAACACTGAAATCAACAGACACTGAGTAAAGCAGACTACCCCACTGCAGGTGGGCCTCATCATATCAGTTGAAGGTCTTCAGAGAAAGACTGAGGTCCCTGGAGGAAGAGGGAAGTCTATCAGCAGAGTGTCTTCGGACTCAAGCTGTAACATCAACTCTTCCCTGGGTCTGCAGCCTGCTGGCCTACTTTGCAGGTTTCAGACTTGCCAGCCCCTACAAGCACGTGAGCAAACTCCTTAAGATAAATCTTTTTCTGTCTCTTTCTGTACATACATCCTATTGGTTGTCTTTCTCTAGAGAGTCCTGACTAATCAACATCTACATCTAAAGACCACACAGTCACACCAACACCACCTATTCCAACCCAACACCACAGTGTTTATTATGGCTTGTCTCCTTTCCAGAGTATAATACCTTCTCTGGCAGTAAGAAAACTGGTGCCCATGATGTTCGATGCACTGACATTTGCTCCATCCTCCCTGAAGTACCTAATATCCTGACCACACCGCACTCTGAGAGCTTGGTTCTGATGCAGGGAACGAGGAAGGGGAAGAGGCAGGAGTGTGTCTTTTGGTCTTTTCATTCACAATGGCAAGAAAATTTTGTTTTGGACTTTAATTCCTTTGGCCTTATAAGAATAATTAATATTTATATTAAAAATTTTCCTTTGACAGTTGAAAGTGAGAAGGAGTTAATATTTAAATCTGGGGCACAGATACTGGCTTTTTATTATAGAGTAATTTTATGATGTCATTTGACCTCATGGGCAAAATCTCTTGACAGACAAAATTGGTCAACACAGCTGGACATAATCTGGGGTAAGAAATTAACCAGGAAGTAAATTCTCAATATTGGAGACAATGTGATCTTGGAGTTTAATGTAAATGATGCACTCTTCTAACCCAGTGCTGAGTCTTCCGGGGCACCGGTGGTCTCAGGACCCCCAGAGGAGCATGGCTGTTATTGGTGAGGGCTGCATCACGAAGGCGGGAGCAGGGCTTTCCTCTCCAAGGCCGAGACACACACTGAGTTGATCACAGGCTAAATGGTTGAGCTCAATATGTTAAGTGAAGAAGAAGAACCCAGGGAACGTTGTTTCCTTCCATGTAGAGGGACATCCTCCAACAATTATCTGATTAAGACGTTGGAAGAAGGAACTTGGTCATATCTTGGCCATCACCTCCCCCTTCCCTTTCTCTTTGGGGGAGCAGATGCTCTGCCCTAGTGGGAGCAGACCTCCCCAGCCCCGTGCTGCCTGTGATGGGAGTTAATCTGCCAAACTGTGGGATTTAGCACTGAGTAGCCTGTCTTCTCAGTAAAACCAATCATCTCCATCTGCTGGCTCCCTGACTTCATTTTTTAACTGATCCAGAACCTGGGTGGGAGAGATGGGTATTATTTATCAAGTTTCACAGACACTCCAATAATACTTATCTTCCAAGGTTGCAAATCTAGGCAGGTCATGAAAGCTGCTTAGAATTCTACAACAATTCTTTGATATGTTTGAGATAAAATATCAATTCCTTGGTTTCCCTTCCTGGATCTCCTCTCACCACTTTCTCCAGCCCCCGTCTTCCAGTCGTAACAAAGACCTGCCAGTTCCCTGGCTGTGCCTTGAAACTTAATGCCCCTCTGTTGTCAAATGGGCCACTTCCCTGTCTTTCTCCTATTTTCCCTAAGCTCATCAAAATTCATCATCCTTTGTTGGGACCCAGTGTAAGCTGCCCCTCAATGGCATATTGATTACTTTGAATTAAAATTACTTAAGAAATGGTCAATGCAAGAGGGGTACTTCGACCCTCTTTTCTGTCTTCCTGAAAGCAGGAAATAAATCTCCCATAAGAAAGGTACCCTCCCTGCATCTGGAGGTAGGTGGATACACTAATCACCAGAGAGGAAATTCAACCTGAGAAACCGACACTCTGTTCACATTCTTTATTTACTGGGCACTCAAAACCTGTTTCTTTGTCCTGTTAATCCCTCAATGTATTGTTTCTTTGTCTAAAAATAAAAGCTTCCTGTGTTGGTTAC